CCACTTTCACAGCCTCATCCAGTCCCAGTGTTACATTCCAGGGTTCTATCTCCAAAGACCATAAGCATAAAGATTTTGGTTTCCTACAGACTTTTGGGAACATGTTCAAATCAGCACATTCTGAAAATTTATTTTTTGTCCGTGAGTGGTTTCAATAGAAGGTCTTGACATCATCAAATGGATGATGTTTTGTCTCTATTTTTAATTTATTTCTAGGTTTATTGTATTATGATGAGAAAGTGTGATTTATATTATTTCTAATTTATTATGCACAATCAATTTTTCTTTTACTTCTGTTTTATCTTACTATGGTATGAGTCTCTGCTGACATAAGATCTGCCTCTGAGATTTTTTTCTTTTTGAGACAGAATTTCATTATTATCCCAGGCTGGCCTCAAACTCCTGGACTCAAGTGATCCTTCTGTCTCAGCCTCCTGACTGCTGGGATTACAGGAATGCATCACCCCAAGGCAGCTATCCCTTCTTAAATGTTTAAGTATTTAACAAAATAGTGTTAACTACTGTCACTCTGTGAAGTAGCAGACCTCTAGGATTTTCTGATTTCACATAACTGAAATCTTACACTTGTTGATTAAAAACTATTCCCTTCCTTCTCCCCCAGCCTCTGGCAGATATCATTCTATGTTGCCATGAGCTGGACAGTTTAAGATACTTTATATAAATGGTCTCATACAGCATTTGTCCTCCTGTGATTACCTAGCCTACTGTCTTCCAGATTCATTCATGTTGTTTCATTTAACAGAATTTCCTTCTTTTTTAAGGCTGAATAATATTCTGTTTCATATATATACATCACACTTCATTTCATATCGATGGATACTGTTGTAACTCTTTCCATTCATACTGGAAAAGATATCTACTCTTCAGAGGACGGACTTCAGAATTCGTAGTAACTATATTTACCTTATCTTTAGCATCTTTACTTTTTTTCTCTGCTTAGTCCAACGAAGGCTGAAATGAAGAGGTGAAGTATATCACTACTCTTGTATTTCTGATGATTTGTCCTAATGTCTCCCTATAATTTATCTTTGCACATGCAACAAGATGCTTAAAAAATAGGGACTCTCATTCAGTTTCAGCTGAGGCCCCCAAATAGTAGAATTCTATGCCACTGTTAAAAGTTGTATCTTTGAAGAAAGATAATCATAGTATTAAAGGAGAAAAAAGCAGTATATAAAACTGTATGCCTAAATCTAATGTTATGAAGTAAAGTATAGATAGATATAGATAGATAGAAAAAAGGCAAGAAATACAACAAGTAGAATTTCATGTACTTTTTTCTTGATATTTATCCAAATTTTAGAAATTCTCTACAGTAAATATAGTGCATTGATTTCTTTTAAAATCATTTTTGTGAAGAGAGAAATTTTTTTTAGAAAAGATAATTCAAATGTCCATGTAATCACCTTCTTTTGCTCTCTAATTTATGACCAATACATGCATGAAAAGCAGGTGACCTGGGAGCTGTCCTCCACCTACACAGGGCCCCAGTGGCCTGGCCTTGTTAGAAGGCAGATGTAGCAGCTGCTTCTATTGGCCTGTGTGCCCAGTAAATGGTTGGAGTATTCCAGAAGGAGGCAGAAAGTTTGCCTATTTGGTTCTCATGTATGTTTTTATTTAGTGATTGATAGGATAAAGGCAGTAGTTCAAGTTTTATGTTTAATCATGGCTCAGAAATTCTGTTAGAGGGTGACGCTGATGAGAGTATAGCCCTTTGCTTCAAGAGCTGGTTAAAACTGACCTTTAAAAATGTAAGCTCAGTTATCCTCACTGCCAAAGCAGGCCCCGAGGGACCATGTCTTATGAATTTATATTTCAACAATTATGTCCGTCTTTCCACATTGTTAAAACTTATTTTGTGGAACAGTCATGGAATGCACTCTGGGCCTCTCTAAATTGCCAGTTTCCCAAGTGCACCCAAGAGAAAAACAAAAAACAAAACAAACTTATTTGCACTATTGTCTTTTCCCTGGAAAGGAGGTCACAGGAAGGCAATGGCCCAATTCCTTCTGTCTGTCCTCTACTCTCTCTCTCTCCTTCAGTGGGCTTGTCCGGTACAGAAAGGGGAAAGATGGGATCATAAGCATTCTAACTCCACTCCTTCTTCCTCGACACAGCAGTATCCTGTTCTACAAGGGCTGTAAGTACTCTGGAAAGTAGATCCTATGACAAAACTTCCTGGGGTTTCAGATGGGAAAATTCGGAGTCCCAGCCTTTTCCCCAGATGCACAGTGGAAGAAAGCCCCTTCCTCCCTTCCCCACAGCAACCAAATGCACAGCTTCATTCATTCATTTCTTTGAACAAAAGATACAAGGATGAGGAGACGAGCTTTGTGGGCCTGCTGGAAATAGGACAGGCTGATAGGAAATGAATGTTCTCAGAACTAACTCCCTGCCCACTGGCTTTAGGTGCTGTGAAGGAAGAATGCGGGGTGCCGCTAGAACCTATTTCTGACTTACTTACAGGGTGGGGCACAAGAGAGAGCTCTAGGCAAAGTCTCCCCAAGGGGGTGACATTTAAACTAACACCTGAATGATGGTCCTCTGAATTCCCTGTAGAGGTGATTTAGGATGGCGATCAGGTGAGAAGGGCAGCAAGTTGGGAAACTGCGCGTCTTCTAGGAAACAACAGTGGCTGGTCTGAGAGAAGGGGAAGCATTTTGGTTTACAGCAAGAATGTCCCCCGCAGGCCCCATGGGCTCATAGCTGGGGCTTTTGGAGGTGAATGAATCAAGGAAGCAATACAGGGGGCCTGCTGTGAGGAGGTGGGGTCTGGTCAGCAGAAGTGGTTCCCTGGGGTGTAACCTGGAAAAGTATGTTTCCCTTCCCATCTCCTTGGTTCTCTCTGCTTCCTGATCACTGTGACATTGTCATGTATGGCTCGGGAGGGTAGACTTTTATCTAGGGTTCATTAAAAACTCTAATCAATAAAAGAATTAGAGATATAAGTTCAGAAAGAGAATCAAAATCATTTTATTGAAAAGGGGGAAAAAAAAGAAATTGCTTTACAAAATCTCCACCTATGAGTGCATGAGGCTTTGGGAAATATTTTTGATATAAATCTAAACACATAGTGACTTTATTTTTTGTTATTTTCATATATTTTTCAATCATGTAAGAGTTCAGTGTCTGTAAGTGGGGGCTTATGAAATTATTTGATGTCAAAAAAGGGGGCCATGTACTTCATGGTAATTTCTTGGTACAAATACCATGGACATTTATTGAGCATCTGTGTGTAGATATTACGTTAGAGTAGATATTTTCTGTTAACCTGACATCACGTGTGTTTTTGTATCCAATTCCCCATAGCATACCCTGGGATTTCTTTAACATCTTATATACAAATATTAGTAGAGATTTTTTTTTAAAATGGCGATAAAAAAAAGAAAAGAGAAACGAGGAAGCAAAATCACTGCATTAGGAAAAGGAGAGAAAAATCAGGAGATAGATAGCTACCTTATCAGAGTAATGTGGGCAGCCCAGAGCTGACACTCAGGGGTCTTTTATTACATGGGGAGAAAGGAGCTTCTCCCCTTTAAGAGTTGTTAGAACTTGATTGGCTATTTTGGGCTTTGAGACTCTTGCTTTGGCCATTGCCCTTCCATTGTCTATGTGCACATTTTGGATAAGCCCTTCTTCGGCCTCTTTGTGCTGTCTAGTTGCTTATCTTGTGAGATTTCCAGCAGAGTTGTACTCAAGGCAGAGTTTGTAAAAAGGATACATGTGCATTTTAGTGTATCAATATGGAGAGAGAAATATATATATATATATATATATATGTATTTATATTTATGTGTGTGAGTGTCTAGGTGTTTTTTCAGAATGTGCCCCCCGCCATTTCTTTTGTGCTTAGTTGGAGATGGAGGGAGTACGGAATGCAGCCTTGGCGTGAAGTGAGCCAGGCAGCCCTATCAGCTCTCTCTGTCTTTTTTTTTTTTCTGGTACTGGGGATCGAACTCAGGACCTCATGTTGGCGGAGTAGGTAGCAGCACCACTAAGCTAAATCCCCGGCCCCTCTGTTTGTCTTTCTTAGCTGCTCTCTCTCTCTAGCAGGAGTTTAACTCTTTTATTTCCCAGAAACCTCACTGAGACCCTTTAACTTTCCCTACAACATGAGAAGCTTTGCTCTGTCCAGGCCCCTCCACCATGACTTCCTGCCCTGAATCCAGGATTGAAACTTCTGAAAGATGTGAGCCAAAGTAAACCTCTCATCCTTTAAGTTGTGTCCCAGCGAGAAGGAAAGCGACTTAGACAGGAGGTGATAGACAAGGCCCCTTGAGCAACCATGTTAGCAACATGATTTTGTGACAAATAACTATATTTTACTTTTATTTTTAAAATACTTTTATTATGAAGAGTGATAACAATACTGTATGGATCTCCCATAAAGTACAGAATATCCTGTGGGTAATATAATAAAATGATTTTTCATTTTCCTTTTTTTGGTAGAGATGGAATCATAGGCCTCATGCACACTAAGCATGTGCTCTACCGCTGAGCTCTATCCTTGCTCTTTTTAAAATGTTACTTTGAGACAAAGTCTTACTAAGTCACCCATGTTGGTCTTGAACTTGTAATCACTCTGTCTCAGCTTCCCAAGCAGATGGGATTATAGGTATGCACCTGGGACCTTACAGCTAAATATTTTAAGGTTTAGAAAAACACTTTCCTTGGATCTCTGTATTTCAAATATTACTCAGGATTAAGCAAAACTAGGCAGCAGAGGGTTTATCCATTCATATGTGAGTTGTGGCTGGAGGTTAAGGCATGCGGTCTTTTGTTTCTTTCTGCAATCTTGAGGACTGAACCCATGACCTTCACACTGAGCTACATCCTCAACCGTTTTGAAAATTCTGAAATAGGGTCTTGCCAACTTACCCAGTCTGTGCTCAAATTTGTGATACTCCTGCCTCAACCTCCCAGAATATTTCCAACTTTTAGCAGCAATCTTGTCGAGGATGAAGATGGCCTGGGGACTGTCAGAACTCTTCCACATGATGATGGGAGGGTGGCCTGGATTGCTGGCATGGAGTCTCATGCTGAATCTCTATCACACTGCTGGAAGACTTGCTCAGGAGCTCAACTTGCCGCCTCAGATGCCTGAAGCTCCAGCTGCAGCACAGGGTGAAGAATCTGGTAAAGAGCATCGTGATGCTACCATTTCCACTCTTCTTCAGGGTGGTGCTGCACCGGATCCAGCCTTGGGAGAGACTTCCCCACTGAGGACCGGTGAGCTGAGGCTTCTGGGCCACTGAGTTCCAATAATAAGGCTTCTCCACCAACACTCCTAGTCCAAGATAACCAGAATCTGGAAACCACTCCAGCCCAGTGGAGCTAGGAAGGCTCTTTCTGTCTGTGGCACCAACATGATTAATGAAGGTGCTTTCAGAAAGGTGATGCTGGGCAGAAGGTATAGCCTGCTGACACCCAGTGTACAAAGCCTGGGGCTGACAGCCAGATCTGGGCTCCAGAGATGCTTGCTCCTTGCTTTCCCCTAATAACTTTACATCAGGGGCTTGATCATGACTGCAGAATTGTGCTTTCTCTTCTTGAAGAGATTCCATAGCCAGAGAGGCAGGACTTTGACTATTTGACTTCAATACATGAAGAAACTCACTGTAAGCTGCCTCCTGTGGATGAACACATTTAAAAGCAGACCTTCATCTTCCGATTTCTCTTCTGTGGCTGAATCACCAAAGCTGCAGTTCTTAGAGTCATGGCTCACAGAATCCTACCTCCGCATCTCTGTTGCAAATCTACTTTTCTCTGCATTTCCTTTGCTCCCACACCCCTCTACTCCAACGCCAAGTCTTTTTTCTTCATTCTCCTCAACCTGGATTTTAGCTAAAGGACTAATACGAAGGCCTGAAATGAGTGATTCCGAATTCTTTTTCTGAGCCTCAGCATCTTCAATGCCAGTGAAGACTCCTGGGAGGTGACCTCTGCCTCTGGAATCTCTCTCCTTGCTCAACACTCCTGCTGTTAATTTTTGAGCCCTATTAGTGAGATTCCTTGGAGACTGATGGCGATCACCAGTAGGCATATCTAGTAATTTTACTAGAAGCCCCTGTCTTTGGGGGTCAACTGTGTCCAGTTTCAAATTTGCAGATATGACTTATATATCATTAGGTACAGGTGAGGAATATTTTCTATCTTGATTCAACAAAGAAGGTTCCACTGAGCCAGCCAGTAACAGTGCTTCTGTTCCTGAAGGATTACATCTACTTCCCTCTGATACAGACAAACGTTTGGCAAGTTCTCTTTTGGAATTGTCATTTGATGCATAAAACTGAGCTTTAGTTTCTCCTTGGAAAGTAATCTTTGGTTCAGTGTGTTTTAACATTTTGACAGTGAGCTGATTTTGATCCTTTATGTCTTTATCTGCCTTTGTAGTACTTGCTCTTTCCAAGCCAACAGCTAGTTGTAGACAGGAAGCAATTGTTCGTACTGGTTTGTCCCATCTCAATTTCACATTTCTTTCCTCACTATTTGTCCTAAACTCATTCCCTTCGGTTTCAGTTAGGTCTCTGGTCAGCTCCGTTACTTTTTTGGCACGTGGATGGGTAGATGGCTTTGAATGAGAGATTTTTTGATCAGTAGGTATGGTTGTTCCTATCATCTTACAGTATGGCAAGTGGGATTTTTAATCGTTTAAATGACTTCTTACAATAAGGACACACTTCCATTTTGGCCTGAGTATCACTCGTTCTCTTCCCCAGCTCCTCTAGGAGGATGCTAATTTTGCTGCTGGTTCTCCTGGATCCCCGTGCTTTCTGATCATTGTTCCCGAGTTAACATTAGCCTCGTTGTTTGTGTTATCTCACAGGGATTTAACTCAAATGTTTGCATTAATTAATGTGACATAATTTTCAAATAACTATATTTTTAAAACAAAAAGATTTTAGGAGAAGAGTAGCATTATTTTATATTTTGGTAAGTCTTTTTGATGTCTGGCTCAAGAGAAGACAGCTGAATCTTATGTCTGCTTCTGTTATTCAATTTTCTCATAGTATTTTATTTAGTTGAAGTATACTGTATGGTTATGGGCTGAACTGTGTCTGCTTCCTTCCATGTGCTGAAGTACCCCAAACACCTCAGAATGTGGGTGTATTTGGAGACAAGGTCTTTAAAGAATTAAGTTAGGGCAGTCCTAACCCACCTGGACTGGTGTCCTTATAAAATGCTTGGTTGCAGGCACAGAGAGGACCACATAAAGATATCTAAAGAAAATCACCCTCACAAACCAAGGGGATAAGCCTCAGAGTAAACAGCCCTGTAGGTAAGATACCTTCATCTCACAGGTAGTACTTGCCTATAATCCCAGTACTTGGGAGGCAGAGGCGAGGATCCCCATGAATTTGAAGCCAATTCAAGCTAGAAGCCAGTTCAAGGCTAACCTGAAATACATAGTGAGACTCTGTCTTAAGAAAACAAAAACAAACAAGATACCTGGATCTTGGACTTCTGCCCTCTAGAATTATGAGAAAATTAATGCCTGCTGTTTACTGCTCCCGTGGTACTGTTATAGCAGTCCTACAAGATCAGTTTAGTCCATGTAAGGAGAAAATCTGATGTCACGCAGATATGTAGTGGAAAAGGGGAGGTTTTACAATTCTTTTGGTGTTAGGGATGGAACCCAGGTTGCTCTACCATTGAACTACATTCTCAACCCTTTTTTAGTTTTGGAAGGGTCTTGCTAAATTTCTCAGGTGAGACTCAAATTTATGGTCCTGCCGCCTCTGCCTCCCAGACTGCTGGGATTACAGGTGTGTGCCACCACACCTGGCTACGGCAGACCATTTTTATGGCTGGCCTGCTTGCCTTATCTTCCTTTCTTCCTTCCTTCCTCCCCCCCTTTATTTCTTTCTTCTTTCTCTCTTTCATTCTTTGTTTTTTTTTTGGCACCAGGAACTCAACCCTGGGCCTTTGCACCAAACTACATCCCCGTTAGCCTCCTTTTTTATTTTTCAGTTTAAGACAAGGTCTCACTGAGTCTCTAAATTACCCAGACTGGGCTTGGATTTGTGAGCTTACTGCCTCAGCCTCCTAGAGTGCTGGCATTACGGGCATCACCATCACACCCAGCTTAATGATCTTTTTACGTAGTTGTAGATATTCCTCTTTGATACTATACTAGAACTTAACAATAGTTTATCTTACAGATTAATTGCATGGTGCAATCTGCAATCACATCAATTAATTCATGAACTCTCATATTGAAATCCATGGGTTCACCTTGTTCTTTGAATGGTGCTTTACTCATGCAAGTTTTTGTAACGTTATATTTGCTCATGTGGAAATATTGTTTCATTGAGTTATGCAGATTTTCCAAATATTTTCCTATACAAAATTTAAAAATCACATTCATTAACATTGTGACTGATCTCACCAGAAAATAATGTAAATCTTGGAAAACTGTCAAATTCATGACAGTGGATACAAATTTTCCAAACGCTGATTTACACTTGAAAGCTCAACTTTTATCATTGCCAACAAATCTTTCAGTTGTTTTCCTTGAATGACAGGCTCATTTCATTTTCTTCTAAGATGACGTTTGCCAAATACCCATGCCCGAGCACCCCTAGTTTGTCAGTCATTCTGCCAAGTGGAAATGGTAATTGCTTGGGAAGGGGCTGTTTGTTTGGCAACTCAACCACTGAGTGCTTTTTCTTGAGATGTCCGCTAACCCTTGGTTTGTAGAAATGCTTCCTAATTCATCACACAGACTATTATCCTGGACTCGAGATTTAACAGAATTAATAATTTTGAGGATTTCTTCAAAGAAATGACTCAGTGAAACAGGCTCTCCCCACCCAGCTCCCCATTCATGTGTGTATGGAACCAGTAGATTCTCATTTACTTTCAGATACATCTCAAAACCAATCCCTTCTCACTCCAAACTATTTTTCATCCCTGGTCTGAGCCTCTGTCATCTCCCTGATTATTGCAGAAACTTTCTAAGTGGACTCTGCTGCCACCACTATAGCCCTTCACCCTTCTCTACACACTTGCCTTCCCCTGCACCCACAGTCACACCCACCCACCCTTGTCACTTGGCTTTGGTTTTCTTCCTAGCACTTATTGTGGACATTATATTGTTAGTGTGTGTGTGTGTGTGTGTGTGTGTGTGTGTGTGTAACTGTCTTCACTATTAGAAGCTGAGATCTCCCAAGCAATGACTTTATCTGTTTTATACATCTACAGCCAGGTTACCACATAGCAGTTGCTCAATAAACACAAGTTTGATGAAAGAAAAAGTAATAGCTCCAAGATGCCAATGTCCAGCTAAACTTCTGCTACTAAACCCCCCAAAACTGCTCTCATTTGCTCTCCATCCCTCCTCCCTTTCTTCCAGCCCTTCCTTGAGCTTCTGTGTGAGGCCCTAAGCTTATCCTCAGCACCTAGGACTTGGGGTGATAGCACCATTTTCTTAACCATTGAGCCTCAGTTCCTCATCTGTAAAATGACACTAATAATAGCACCTATGACTGCCAGTGTTTGTTGTGAAAATCAAGTGAGCTAATAACATTTTGCATATTAATTATGAATGCAAGCTCTTTTTATGTGGCAAAGGTGGAATTTGAGCCTTAAGGACTAGATTTTAAAATAGAAACATAGAGGTTACCAGAGACAGGGATGAGAGGATGTGGATAGGGGGAAATTCCAGGAGAAGGGAACATGAGGCCATGTCCGAGGCACAGCTGACTTGGTGAGATTTGGTGAGGTGGGATGACTTGACCAAGGCAGGGAGAGAATGGGACGGTGCTATATGGATTGGCAACGGCTGCGTGGCAGAAGACTTTTATTTTGTTTTTTCTGGAAATTGAACCCAGGCCCTTACGCTGAGCTACATCCCTAACTCTTTTTACTTTGAGACAAGGTCTCACTAAATTGCCCAGGCAGAACTCAAACTTGCAATCTCCTGCCTCAGCCTTGAAGTCCTGGGATTACAGGTACGAACTGTCATGCCCATCTTCGGATGGCAGAAGATGTTATGACCGTACCGAGGTGCTAGGGCTTCTTGCTCTTGGGCAGGTACCGGTATCAAGACAAAGCTGGATAGACTAAGATGACTGGAGCTTGACAAGTGTGGCAAGGACACCCAGGGATGGGCTGGGCCCACAGGATGTCGTGGGGGTGGAGGTCGAGGAGGCTGGGGAAGAAGCCTGCATTGAGAAGAACTTCAAGTGCCATGCGGAAAGCTGGGGTGTGATTATGACTCTCTTCTTGTCCCCTGCCCCATTTCTTGCAACTGTCACTTGAGATATTTGTTGCCCAAAGCTTGCTGTCACTCTGTCTGTCTCAGTAAGGTGATGTGGTTGGTAACCCAGGATGTCTATTTTTGCAGTGAGACAGAATGTTTTAGCAGCTAGTCTGACAGATGGGTCCCTAGCCTCTCACATTGCTTTATTCTACAGCCAGGGACACAGAGAGGGACGGGTGGAGCCTTCCTTAGGGGTTGATTGGCTTAGCTACATCACACTTTGTTCCCCCAAAAGATCTTCTCATTCAGATGCTTATTCAGTAAGTACCCATTGACTGATGAATGTTAACAATATCAGGCATTTTTGAAATACAGTGATCTGTGTTACTAATTATTTATACTAGCATGTTCTGAAAATGAACTGGGTGATTTTGAGCTGCACAGAGAGGCTGGAAAGATGACAGCCTGCCTTCTGTAAATATTCCTTACTATATAAAAGTCATAATGCATATTAAAGAAAAAGAACAAAATTGAATGAAGCCAAAATAAAAGATCCTTATCTTCTTCCCACCCCCCCATGTCCTTAACCCACTCCTCAGAGGTGTGGATGTAGCCTGTCAGACATTTTCTAAGTGTATCTTTATAATGTACTTTTTCCAGAAATGAGCTTCCACTCTACATCTTGTTCTTCATCTTCTCTCTCATAATAGATAGCCTTTCGGAGGTCCAGGCATTGAACTGTACCCCATTCTGTCTTAGCTGCAGACTTCCCTGTGCAGGATTTATTCTTATAAGAACCGTAGCCTCAAGTCTGGCCATCTTTAGTATAAAAGGCAGACCTCAAAGCCACCAGCTTAATTTGTCAGGGGATCCTTGGAAAAAGGGCAGTTTTGTTCTTTGTAAAGCACTAGCCTGCGGCTGGGTGCCCTGTGCCTCTCATTTATGGAAACTCCAAACCTCCCTGAGGAAGGAGGATGTCCCAAGCAGAAGTGGGCGGTGGCTGCCCCATAGAGCAGAAGAAGGGCGATTTGTGGCCGGGTCAGAGTCTTGCTAAGGGAGATCACAAAGAACCTCAGTGGAGCATGGTTATACACATTTGCCATTTCCTCCAGGGCTTTGGTCACTGACGCTGAGACATAAAAACAAGTTGATTGATGTCAGATAAAAGTTCCTCCCAGGAAAGCAGTAGCATGCATTAGGGGCACTGTAGTGATGATGTTTGTTTGGCATAATGAGGTAGTTCTACTGAACACAAAGGAAATGTTTTACGCTCGCATAAGGAGACCTATGCAAAAATGTTTGCTGTAAGATTATTTAATATTTTAAAATTTGGTAACAATTAAAATGTTTACTAATAAGGGGATGAATAAATTGAGGCATACTCATAGGACAGAATGTTTGACAACAATGAAAATGAGTGGACTAGATCTTAATGTGGGGTGAAAGAACAATGATATGTATATATAGGATATAAATGATATA